ATAGTTTGTTCTTTAACATTTTCCTGTGTCCTATTTCTTGAAGGATACAGTCATTAAGAATCCACCAAAAAGGAACATAAAAACAAAGTCTGCTGTCCGACCTCGGAAAGAGCCTTCTTCTAGCATTCGACAGTAACGATATCTTAAGTTCCAAGTTAAGAAAATATTATGCATACAAATGTGAAGAAAACAAAATACAATCAACCACTTAAGTATACCTGGGCTTCATGTTATCTATAAAGGGTCAAGCTGCAGTTCTGTATGAATGTTTGAGTAGTAATGTGATTACTTTTTTTTTTTTTTAAAGTATTTTAGAAATCAAAAATAGCTCCATATTTTACAAAGGCTGTCCCTATTGGGGAACTAATTCACATACTGCATGAACATTTAAACTGCATCACCTTTAAATCATTTCCAATGTGTAGTGTTGTCTTTTCTCTGTTCAGCCACATGTTATCTGCACCGTCTGTGCTTTTCCATGACCTAATTTGGAAGAAATCCCCCAAAAGAAGCCCTGTGTGATAAACTACTTTTCCATGCTGGGCAGATTAAACGTTTCTACACCTCAGTTAATTAACATGCACTGTATGCCAGGCGTGGCAGCACATGCCTTTGATCCCAGCACTCAGGAGACAGAGGCAGGAGGATCTCTGTGAATTCAAGGCCAGTCTGGTCTACATAGTGTAGCCCCCAGTGGGGCTATAGGGAGACCCTGTCTCATAAAGACCAAAAATAAAATTAACTTAAAAAAAAAGTGAATTGTAATGAAACAACTTTTATTAGGAACTTGTCAGAATAATATCCTATGCAGTACATCATTCTAAGACAGGAGCCCACCCCTCTGTGCACTGCAGATGAGATGATCTGTACTTCCCCCTCTTAATCAAAAGGGTAGAAATGCCCAGCTCAGTGGGCCCAATTAACATCTGACTGGAGGACTGTTCTTGCTTTCAACATGAATGAGTCAAGCCCAGCAGACATTACACCATCTTTTCAGCCAGTAGATCTAGGAATTATGTTCCCCACTCCTCATGAGCCCATACCAAAACCAGTGGCAAAATTCTGCTGAGTTATCACAGTATCAGGTTGTATTTTACCATTTGGTACCTGATGTTATTTACAACCATGCCCAAATTAAATCCTATCTCCCTTCTCTTCATCAGACTTTCTCAGCAATTTAAGGGCACTGATATGCTTAATTTATAGTTGTAAATGTGAGCTACGAACACCTTCAAAACATTGCCTATCTAACCAATTACTCTACAAACCACTGACCTAGAAGTCGTAGCTAAAATGGCATAAAAAAAATAAACAGACTACCAGGCAGAGGCAGGTGGATCTTTGTGACTTCAAGGCCAGCCTGGTCTACAGTAGTGAGTTTCAGGTCACCCAGGGGAGACACAATGAAACCCTGAAACAAACAAAAAAACAAACAGGAGTAATAGTTTCAACTGAACTGTAGATCCCAAAGTGAGCCTAAAGTTTTGATGCTGACTTCACTTAATAAAGGATACAGAAAAATCATGTTAAATAAAAAATTGAATCCAACTGGACCAAAAAACAAGAAATTGGTGATTAACCTCCATATCTGTAGGGGGAAAAAAATTGAGAAATATATTAAGTAACATACATGACCAGGAAACATTTCTATATTAAAATTTTTGAAAAGAAATCCTATGATTATGATGTTCAAAGGCCCTGGAAAAGGACCATTCAAACTGGGGCACCCAATCTAATACTGGATTTTTTGTGTGTGCTACTTCTACTTGAAAGACTGGAAAACTATAATTGACTATGAAACTTACAAGGACAATAGGTCAGAAAATTCAAAATTATTATCTTTTATAAAACATCACGAAAAGCCCATACTGTGTAGTTAGGCAAATTACAGAATCTTAAGTACTTGGGAGGCTGAGGCAGGAAGACTATAAATATCAGGCAACAGCTACATGGCAAACTAAAAAAATACAAGAACAAGCTGAGAGGAAGCAGTCCCAGCAAAGGCCATAGGAATACTGAAGAAGGCAATGTCAAGACATCAGAGGCCTGACTGCTTCACACAGCATCAAACCCTTGAGTACTGGTAAGTCTGTGAGAGTTAATATTGACAGGATTTAAAATCAGCTAAAGACGAACTTCTGGGCATGCCTGTAAGGTAGCAGTTTTTGGACTTAGTCACTTGAGATAGGAAGACCAACCCATCAGTTGGGCTGGAGTCCTGGACTGCCTAAAGGGGAGAAAGCCAACTGAGCACCCACCATGTGCTCTGTTTCCTCATTAAGGCTGCAATGTGACCAACTGCCTCAAGCTCCTGTGGCCATAATCCCCATCACTGACTCTACCCTTAAACTAGGAGCCAAAATAAATCTTTCCTTAAACTATTTTTGTCAGGTATGTTGTCACAACAATGAGAAAACTAATACACTATACAGAAACAATCCAGTTCTGTATGTTAACCGCATCCAAACATGTACAGAATCCTCATCCTAGTGAGGAGACAGAATATAAAAATTACAAGTAAGGGTGAGAGATACTCTAACACAAAAGATAATTGCCTGAGGGCATGCAAAAGTTGCAGCTTGAGAGACAAGATGGAGTTCAGTAGGTACAGAGTGAGTGCAACATATTTGTGACAGGCAATAGCATGTATGGAACAAGAATTACCACCATCAGGGACTCTCCTCTTTACTTAGAATGTGGATGATCATCCTGGAGCAGGAAAGTGTAACTCTCTGGCATTTTAATCACTGGAAAATGGTTCCTCACACTGTGATCTAATAAACCAACATATTATTTTGGATAATGGTCTTTTAGACTTGTGTTAGTATGATCTGACCTCTGGAAGATGAATGAGTTTTAAGGCACTACAGAACTAAGTTTATGAACCAGACCATGAGGATTAACAACAGTAGTGGGCATGCTGTAGGTGCTGAACTGAGGGAAAAAAAAGGCTACTCTGTGAGACTCCATGGGGCAGATAGCTGGTCAGAGTCCTTTCAAACAACATTAACTTTTGTTACTGTTGTTCTTTTTTTGCCTTTTTGAGACAGGATGTTCCTGTAGCCCCAGCTGGGCTGGGACTCATTATGTAGACCAGGCTGGCCTCAAATTCACAGAGATCTGCCAGTCTCTGCCTCCTGCGTACTGGGATTAAAAGCGTGTGCCCACACCCAGCTATTTATTTTTTGAGACAGGTTCTTGCTAGGCTCAAGCTGGCCTCTACCTCTTGAGTGCTGGGATTATGGTCTCATTAATTCTAAACCAGTTAACTCAGCACATCAAAACTACAGTGAAAACAGATGAATTCTAGATTCTCACCCTTAGCAAATTCATTCTCTCTCTCTTAAATTGAGACAGGGTCTCCCTATGTAGCCCAAGCTGATCTAGAACTGATAATCCTCCTGTTCAGCCTGTTCAAGGCTGGGGTTAAAGGTTTGGGTCACCATCTCCAGCTCTACTTTTGGCAATTCTGATTTGGTATATGATGAAAAGCCCCTAAATCTAAGAGCCCTTAAGTGATTAACAATTAGGAAAAAAAGAGTAATGGAAACATCAGTTACAGTTGCCATAGACCACTTACTTGAAAGTGTTTAAAAATTAACTCAGGATTGAAGTACAACTGAAAAGGTGTGATCAATTCCAACTGCTGAAATAGAAAAAGAGCTTCTTAAAGCAGATCAACCATAAAACAAAATGTCAGCATTAACAACAAAGGATTAGTAGCCCTAAAATTTCTAATTCAATAACTTGGAGTGAATTCCTTTAAGCTTTTCTTATGAAGAGGAAGAGACTGGTAAGGAATTCTTCAGAATTTGTGCGATTTTTTTTTTGTATTTCCTATACACAATGTAAGTGTTACGTTGCATATATGAGGCTGATATAAGCAGACAGGTGGTGATATTTTAGATCCAAGAGAAGTGACAGCAGCTGTGACGAATCCGGATCACGTACTACTCGAAATAAGAGATCCAAGGCCCCGCTACCATCGGGGCTGTGTGCAGCCTGCCAGTCCCTTATTTCTACAAACCCTCTTATTTTAAGATGTTTCCGGGTAATTTCAAATTCCTATCCCCAGTAAGTAAGTCTCTGAACTTGGCGGACCTTGCTCCCCACTAGTCACCTGGCCATAGCTAGAGAGCTCTCAGACACATTTTTGGGTGGGCGGCTCCCCGCAGCTCAGACCCGCTAACAGGTCTGGGTTTCATCTCTTAAAAACTGACCTGACTCCTCGTGGAGGGGCACTCCCTTCTCAGGTCACTGGTTGGCACCCTTAGGGCTATCCCGAACCATAGATTGAACCCTGGGTGTCTCCACCCACCCCTGGGACCAGACCCTCTGGGCTTCTCGACGGCCCAAACCCCAGTTTTCTGAAGACCCGAATCCTATCTAGCCTGGAAAAGGAGAACCCGGGGCCACTGCTGCTCACCACAGCGGCGGTGGTGAGGACGCAGGCAGTAGTGTAGGCGCGGCTGACCGGTGGTATCTGCAGGTACTCCAGTCGGAGGCTCTGGTACGCCATCTTCCCCACCGCGCCTGCCCCCCTTCCCCTTCCGCCAGTATGCCAGGCGGCGGGCGGACTCCGGGCGCCTGCCTTCAGCCTGCCGGCGTTGTCCAATCAGCGGCGCGCACTCGGCCAGCCGCCTATCGTTGGCCCCCTGAGTACGGCTCACCCACCAGTCACGAGTTGCGTCTCGGCGTCGGCCCATCAGTGTTTCTCCACCTCCCAACCGAGAGAGAAAGCACCGGCTCCTTCCGCCAATCCGTGCCGGCCACAGCTAGCTTTCCCGCCTGGCCCCTTCCCGTCGCCAATTGGGGTGGCCCTTTCGACTCCACGGCCAGCCAATCAGGAGTGCGGTACCGTCCCGCCTTCGCGTTCGATCGCCGTCGCACGTCTCAGAGTCCGTCCGCCCAGCTGTGGTCACTCCCGGGGGTTCGACGGCGGTGGCGGGAAGCCAGTGTGTGGCGGACTCCATCACTCCCGGGTCGCTACGGTAGGGCGGCAGGGCGTTCTCAGAGGAGCGGAGAGGGCGGGAGTGGACTAGCGGCCTCTAGAGTCGGCCTCGCTGGCTCTCTCAGCGGGGCCAGGGGACTCGGAGGATGCGGAGATCCCGGCATGCAGCGGGGCCTAACGGGAGCTCCGAGCTCCCGGAAACGGCTCCCACTCTGTGGTTTCTGGGTCCTGTCCAGCGCGGCGGTGGGCTCTGAAGGTGCTGAAACTCGCCGACGTGGCTTGGGCTCTTCCCGTGCTTACCTCTGCCTCCGGAAGTCTAATCTAGCCGAGAGGAGGCGGTGGACCAGGTAGTAACGCCGAGGGGAATTCAAAGGGAAGTGGCGGGTTCATCGGGAAATATTTGAACTGGCCGTTGAAGGCTGTGCCCAGTGCGTGCCTACTTGAAGGGAAAAAATAGAGTTCGGTTTGGTTGGAGCAGAGACTGGCCTGCTTGTGGCAGAAGTGTAACTATTCAGTGAGTTACGTGCAGCTCCCAAAGAATGGAACAAGAGCGTCACCATCAGGTCTGGTAGTACATAAAGGAAGTCTGGAGAGAATGGATGGCGTGTAGAAGTAAGAACATAAGGCTGAGTGCAGTGGCAGTCTGTGGCCTAGCCACGGAGGGTGAAGCAAGAGGATTTCTTAAGTCTTAGAATTCTAGGCCTGGGCTCTTCCCGTGTCTACCTTTGCCTCCGGAATTCTAATGTAGCCGAGAGGAGGTAGTGCACAGGGTAGTAACGCCGAGGGGAATTCAAAGGGAAGTGGCTTGAGCAACATAGTGAGATTTGGGGGGCAGAGATGGGTTATTCACAGAAGGTACTGTCTTTACTCGTTGGTGTTGAAACTGCAGATTTGTTGCTTACCACCGCAGCAAAGCATTGACAGTGTTTCATAGGGAAGAAAGGCAAAATTAAAATGAGAACTTTCCCTCTGAACAAGAAGTTTGATTTAAAGTGAGTCTTTCAATTTAAGGGCCTAATTAGAATTGACTACATCAAATTGTGACACATCAATCCAGGATTGTTGGAATTTTTTTTTTCTTTTATTTTTGAGACATTGTCACCCTGTAGCTCCAGCTGGTCTGGAATTCGCTGTATAGACCAGGCTGGCTTCAATCGCACAGACATCCACCCGCCTCTGCACTGGGATTAAAGGGGTGTACCACCACACTCAGCTCAAGGCAAGAGTTTTAAGGTGCAGATTGTTGATAGTTGGCACTAAGAATTGATCCATCTTTGGGAGAATTTGTAATGGACAACCATCCTACTTGAATAATGGAAATATTCTTGTCCTCTATAAAAGTCATCCTAAGTCGTGAGGGTAGAGGTAGTTTTGGTGTCTAAACAGTATGGATAGATGGTTTTGCTTTTTAAAATACTGTGCAGGGCTGGGGATGTAGTGGTAGAGTGCTTGCCTAGCTTGTGAAAGCCCTGGACTTGGTCCTTAACACTGCAGGAAAGAAAAACAATCAATTTTATAACCACCAAGTTGACAAAAGTTAGATTACTGTATAGTATTGGTAAAGATATAAGAAGTTCTGTATAAACCAGCCTCAGCCTAGATGTTCTGAGACTGTTTTGTCAGTATTTAGTGAAATTACATATGCAAACAAGTGTCAAGTCCCTAGGAAGACATCATAGGAAGATTCATTCCCTCCTTCTGGTTTGTGCAGTTTTATTGAAGAAAACTAAATTGCTAGCAGAGCTAGCAGTTGATCACTTATCTGACAACTTGCATCATTCATTGATTGATACAGTACATTGGACAATAGATTAATAACCCCAAACCCAACAGTTTCCGCGAAAATTATAAAATGTTTTGAAACCCTATTTTGGAGTATAATAGATGTCTATCTTCCAGTGCTAATGCTATAGATTTTACCAGCTCTCTACATCAGTTAGGGGCATAAAGTATACCCTGTAATCTCAAATCTCTTTTAACAGTGGAAGGCTTAAGCAAGAATGGATGCTGCTAAAATAATGCTGCCTCCTTTGATGTAACACTCACTGTTCATCTCTCCCCGTGCAGATGATTTCTTGAGCGTGTTAGAACAGTGAGGAATGGTTCTGTCTTATGATCCAAGTCAGAGTAAATACACATGCTCCATTAAAATTTGTTTTACTGACTCTTGGGTAAATTCTCTTATTGCTATAGTTTCTAAAAACAGTTATTTTTAGAACTGGAAGAACTTAAGTCTTCTTAGATGAACACATGAAGGGAGAGAGAGAAAATTTAAAAGATGAGGTCTTACAATAGGGTAACAGCCAAATAAAATTTAAAAGGGAACTATGGTTTAAAGTTTTATTTCAGCAATAGTACAGGTTATTTTGACTTTAAAGTCACATCACATGGCATGCTTCTGAGTCCATTTCCAAGACCCCTATCTGATTTATAGATCTGTGTGATCTCTGGTACTAGAAGATCATGAGAGCTTGGGTCACATAGTAGTGAACAGATAAAGGTGTTTTAGGAAGAGTTAAAACAGGATGCCACTGTTATTTCAGAGTATCAAAACCAATGCTGACATTACTGCTGCTTTTTAAAAAATATTTTATTTATTATTTTTATTATTTTATGTGTATGTGTGTATTGCCTGCATGTATGTGAGTGCACGCATGTCGTGCAATGCCATGGAGGTCAGAAGAGGGCTTTGGATTCCCCTGGAACTGGAGTTAAGGATGGTTCGTAGCCTCCATGTGGGTGCTGGGAATTGAGCCCAGGTCCTCTGTAAGAGCAGTCAGTGCTCTTAACCTCTGAGCCATCTCTCTAGCCCCTACTGTTGCTTTTTAGATGATAAATTCTTGTAAATTTAGTTATAGGTGGTTTGAAGGGGTTGTCTGCTAGAAAATGAAATGTCAGAAAAAAATACTCTGCCTTGACATAGGCTGTCATTAAATCCCATAGTTGTGGCATGCAATGAAACATCCCCAGCTGAACCTGCAGAACCTTGTGCTAATCCGTTTCAGTGCCATAACCTGTTATTCACCTGGCTCCTCACTCTTAATGTATGCTCAAAGCTCTGTTGAAAACTCTTGGCTATCTAGACAATAGGGAAGGATTTTCTCTTGTTTCACACTGCCTCATACATACACATGCCACTGTATATCAGTTCCTCAACCCCCATATTGGAAGCATAGGATAGATCTAAGAGGAGTGGCTTCAGAGGACCTGGGTTCAGTTCCCCATACCCATGTCATGTGGCTCACAGTCACCTGTAACTCCAGCTCCAGAAGATCTAAACCCCTCTTCTTACCTCCATGGCATTGCATGCATTTGGTGTACTTACATAGATGCACGTAAAACACTTGTACACATAAACATAAATAATTTTTTTTTTCTGATCTCTTTGAGGCAGGGTCTTCCTGTAGCCCCAGCTGTTTTGGAACTATGTAAACCATGCTGGCCTTGAACTCACAGAGATCCACCTGCCTCTGCCTCCCGAGTGCTGGGATTAAAGGCGTGTGCCACCACGCCTGGTTTTTAACCTACTATTTTTAATTTTTAAAAATCTTTTTATTGCTGGACATGGTGGTGCACACCTTTAATCCCAGCACTCGGGAGCCAGAGGCAGACAGATCTCTATGAGTTCAAGGCCAGCCTGGTGTACATAGTGAGTTCCAGGACAGCTGGGGCTACAGGGAGATCCTGTCTCAAAAAGATAAAAAAAAAAAAAAAATAGATATAGTAGGTAAGAACTGGGGAGGGTGGCATATGCCCATAACCCCAGCACTCAGGAGGCAGAGGCAGGCGTATCACTGCAAATTTGGGGCCTGGTTGGGCTACATAGCGTGTTCCTGCCCAGCCAGGGCTACCTGTGTTAAA